AACAATTACAAGTGTTATTGTAATAATGTGAACATTCAAATACCTATATGTGAATGTATATATGCCTATCTTATTGGTTCAATATAGAAAATCTATGAGTAATCAATATCACGTTGATATGCCTATAGGTTGGTTCAAATGTATGAGCTATGTTGTATATTATAAGACTCTTATTAGTCAAAGTAATGGTTTATTAATTAATGTTGATCTGTGTGTATGCAGAACCAACTTATGTACGAATCCATCAATGAGCTCCAAAGAAAGGTATGTAAAAACCCTATCAAATGTATGTATGTCTTATCGAGAAACGTATAGGGAAGCTAACAATCGTGCCGTTTTGGAAATGACAGGAGAAGGCCATACAGGAGCAAAACAGCATGCTTTCTAAACAGGTAACACGTGTCAATATGTCATCATTTATCCTTCATCAACATGTTGTCCACTGCATTACTGTTACCTTCCACTGTTCTGCTCCACACCTCCAGCCAAGCTATACCTACGAGATATTCATATCTCCACTTAACTTCGGCACCATTAATTAAAACATAAAATCTTTGCAAATTTTTTTAAATAGCATAGATGTTGTCTATTGATTGATATAATCATCAGCCTGTACGTAGATGGGCTTTGTCCGTTTAGTTTTAAGGTTGTCTCTTGGATTGAAAATATTTGAAATGTCGTCCCATCATTCTACTTAGCTCATATCTATGTATGTGAATATAGACACTACTCTTAATTATAAAAATACTTATAAGAGTTCATTGCATGTGTGCAACTGTGAAAATAATTCTGTAACCATTGCATATATATAGTTTCTTCACTTTGAAAATTGATGATGATAATATGGTATGAAATAATTTTTTAAACAAATTGGTGTGTGAAACCTGAAAATTGGCAGATCAAGGAGAGGGAAAAAATTCTTAGGGCTCAACAAGAGCAGTGGGATCAGCAGAACCATGGCCACAATATGCCTCCCCCTCCACCGCCGCAGCAGCATCAAATCCAGCATCCTTACATGCTCTCTCATCAGCCATCTCCTTTTCTTAACATGGGGTAACAAAAATTCACTAATCAATATTAATTTCAAGTAAAATATATTTGAATCATATATGCTATGCGAGCTAGTTAGATGTTGTAATTTCATTGAAGTTATAGCCTTTCTGTTAGTGATGGTTACATGATGTCATGATCTTGAAATTAGAAACTTTCTCTAAACCATTCATTTATTAAAGTAGGTTAATGCAATTGTCGCCAAACGAACAAACTTATAGAGTGTGGAAACTATAGATGGAATGGTTGCGAAAAGCCTAAGAAACAATTGGAATCTGCTCGGCTTTTGTTGTTGTTGGTCTATGTGTTTAAGTAACATTTGAGTTTGTTAGATAAATGAAATTAATATCTTTGACGTTTCAAAATGGACTTATATTTGATTTTCCTTTGTTGTACGATGAAACATATGATTACATATGCACTTTCATATATATATATATATCCTATGTATGATTGTGAATGCAGTGGTCTGTATCAAGAAGAAGATCCAATGGCAATGAGGAGGAACGAACTCGAACTGACTCTTGAACCTGTTTACAACTGCAACCTTGGCTGCTTCGCCGCATGAAGCACTTCCATATATATATATTTTATAATCGTCAACAATAAAAACAATTAGCCACATACATATAAATAGTGGCTAGGCTCTTTTCATCCAATTAATTAATATATTTTGGCAAGTTCGATGTTCTTATATCATCATATATAAATTAGCAAGCTCCTTTTTCTTTGTAATTTTATAAGTTTGTTTGCTTCAATATGGGGCAAAATTGTAATATATTTGACGGTCGGAGAGAATGAACGGGAACTTAATTGATCGGACCTTTTTTGTCCTTTTTTCTTTTGTATGAAGTTTTGTTGCATTAAAATAAAAGTGGCAAATTTGCACATCATTACAACTTAACAAGTTTACAACAAGCCAACTCTAGTGGTTGGGAAACCAACTTTAGTGGTTGGGCCCTATTAACCCAAATCAAAATAGAACCCAATTAGAACTAAGGAATGATGTTGAGCCATAAAAGCCCATAATTTGCCTCTTAAATCGAGCGAGATAACCCTGAATTTGTTACATTATTTGTGCGAAATGTATTTCTTAAAAAATCGTACAGTATTTGCGAGAAAATGTATTTCAAATTCGTGACAAATAAAATTTCGTTTTTTTCTCACAAATATTGCGATGGACTTATGCGTGAAAGAATTGTTGCAATAGTTGCGATGGCAAATTCTGTGCTTACAAAACAACCAAAAAAATTAAAACTTTAAAAAAAAAACTATTCAAAGGCAGAGTAAACAGAGATTTCACAAAGAAAGGGAGAGAGAGAGTTTAATTATAATGTCTGAATGTAGTTAACAAAGAGAGTTTATAATCATCTTTGTCTTTCCCAATTTTTCACCTCGTTAACAGAGGTGAAATAATTCGTGTTTCTCTTGCGTTTGTTAGGTCTGTTTGTTTTCTGTTGCTTGCGTGACAAGGTAACCAAAAAGCAGGGGCCAATGATATGACCATTGTTCGGAATGATGTCTATTGCTTGGTGAAATAGTTTTTGTAAAAATGCCGAGATACATTTTTCTTTATCGCGGAGTCTAACTCTGTGGATCTTATTGTGAAAACACCTAGTACTCTAAACCGTGAGACTGATAAGGTAACCCAACCAAATTTCATTCACCACAACTTTTCTCTATGTTTTCCATCAATTGGAATTATGCCTCGACATCGACATTCTTATTTGGAGAAAGAGTAGTGTTTAGCCTACATCTTAATTATCATAATGTAGCAATTGGATTGGTTCATTATAACCCAAGCAAACCATGTAACAAAACCAGCTCCCAAAAAAAGTAGAACTAGATAATGTAATTTAGCTATTTTGAATCTAATACAGGAAGGTGACACAGAGGAGAATAATCAGGTCTTTGTAATTACAAAGATATTCTGAGGAGTGGGCATTTTGATGACTATAACTGAACCAATCCAAACTGTACTCGATGTTCAAACCATTCGGTTGGGCTTTTTTTCTTTTTTGCCAACACGAACGGATAAACCAATGTGTTTGTTTATACTGTATGTGATTACAAATATAATATTATAAACCCTAAACAACAAGTTTGTTGATTTCCTTTTCACTACGATTATTAATCAGTATAAAATAAAGTTTGTTTAGTTGTCCCCGTCTCTAAAGAGTAAAACTGGTGTTCTGTTTTTTTCTTTTTCTTATTTTGTTGGTAAAATTGTTTGGTCTTCACAAAAACCCAAGATCGAGGAGTAGAAAAGCAATGAAAAGAAGATGTGCGATTTCTTGTTGTTGTGAATTAGGATTGACCATGTCGAATAACGCTTCTGAAGTGCCATCGCACAGTAAGAGAAGGAAGAAATCGAAGGAGGCGTCCCCGTCGTGGTCTGGGTTATGTTCGTTGCCAGATGCGGTGGCTGTGAGTTGCCTGGCTAAGGTCTCGAGATTGGACCACGCAGCTTTAGCTATCGCCTCCAAGAGCCACCGCTCTCTCGTAGCTTCCCCTGAACTCTGTCACTTAAGACGGCGGATAGGTTGCACCGAGGCATCTCTCTACGTATGCTTACGCATCTTTCCTGACCCAATCCCATGATGGTTCATCCTCACCCCTAAACATCGGCTGAGCCTGATCCTATCAAACCCTAATCAAGCTCCGAATTCATCCTCTTTCGTTGTGATTGATTGTGGGATCTATGTAATCGGTGGACTCATAAACGGCAATCCCATTTCGGATATCTTGATTGTTTCTTGCACACATGGCACCGTGTCCCGTCCATGAAGATGGCTCATTTTTCCGCGTCGGCAGGCCTAGTAGACGGGAAAATATACGTTTTGGGAGGTTGATGGGAGGATTTTGATTCCTCAAACTGGGCAGAAGTATTCGATCCAAAGACTCAAACTTGGGTTAACTTTGTTACGCCTAAGATGTCCCACAATATCCACCAAAGTGTTGTGATCGAAGAGAAGAAGGTTTATTATGCGGTGGATGAGGAGGCTCAAAGCTTTTACTTTTTGCTAAGTGAAGGTATATTCCAGACAAGCGGAAAAAAAGATTCTTCTACGCCAAAAAACAGAAACAATTGGTGTACCATAGGGAAGCTGTTATACTGTCGTGGTACTCGCGGGAGAATACTGTGGTGTGAGCCAGATGAGTTGATTTGGAAGGAAGTGAAGGGTTTGGAAGAGCTGCAACTGTCTCTATGTGGTTCGAGAATGCTCTGCTCTCTTGATCCAAACTGGCAGAACCGTGAGCTAACCAATGTCAAATATGATATTTGTAGACTTTGCAGCAACTCTGCTGGTAACGTTGTCATCTTCTGGACTGCGCATCTCGGAGATCCTGAGAGTTTGGAGCTTTGGTCTGCCGAGGTTTCCTTGGAGAGACGCGAGGGATGCAAAATTCGGGGGAAGATTGAGTGGTCCAGTGCTATCTACAAACTTGATCCTCTCTCACACTCAGCTTGAAGGTCTTATATTCTGCTTCTGTCCTTGCCTGATACTATTCTTGCCTATTTCAATCTACTCACTCTTTGTTTAAACTATTGTTGCCTGAATTTCCTTTGCTTTCTTTTTCAGCCCTTGTTGTTTATGTGGATTATAATGCAACACGGAAGGGAATTTTTTACTTAAAACTTTTGTTGCTGAATGTTAATGGTGAGCCATCGCTACATTTGAAAAGTTGTCTTAACTCTCGACCTAGTAAATACAGGACATAAACAAGAAACGAAATTGCTAGTGTTACGCGAAATTCCATAAACTAGAAACCATATTGCATGAGAGGGAAAAAAAAAAGAGAGGGTCGTTTGTTAACACAACTTATGCATTGAATTGAAGATAATAAAACTGTAAACTTTATAAGGAGCAAGCACATTAGATCAAACAGTTTTAATTTGTAAGTAAAATGACTAACATGACTCTTTCTTGAAACGCAAGAAAAGTGTCTTAGGCTTCTAGTTCTAAAGGATAATTTGTACTTAAAAATCCTATAAGTTGGAAAGATGTTCAAACCACCAAATCAACAAGATAATAAAGAGAGAGAGAGAGATAGGGATGAATACAAAACAATAAACCTTAGACACCAAAACTCTGTTCTTTCCTTGAGGAATAATTTATCAGAGGTGCAGGAAGAAGTAAAGTTTATTTAACCGGATAAAGATTTTAAAGAAAACTCAAGACACATTTGAATAAACCAATACGCTTCCTGTGACATAAGAATATTATATGTGCAGCGATAAATCATTATAAAATGAAAAGGAATTGATCGATCAGTAGGCTTAAATTGAAAATATATATAGTGGTGTGTTTGGATAAGACCGGAGAAACATAATTACAAAAGAACTCACCTAAATGATTAATCTACGGGCTTAGAATTCAATAAAAAATAGAATGAAATTATATAATAGTACTATTAATTATGCTTTGGTTTAATTAGTCTATATAAAATGACTAATTAATTTTGTGCTAAAATTCACTAGGATTCTATATCCCATGACAAACACAAAACCTGATCGTACATCATCTTTAGTGAGGCGAAGAACTTTTTCCTCCAATTTCGAAGTAGATATCCGGCAAAGCAGGAACCTTATCGCATTTAATTGTTACTCTATGTGCTCCAATTGCTTCATCTATAGATCTTACGGACAGCTTCCTAAATAGTATGCAACAAAACAAATTACGATATATACAAACTAAACTATATACTCACTAAAACTAATTTCTTACCTCGGGGCCAGAAATGTCGGTTGTTCCCGAGTCAACGATTGCTTTGCATTGTAAGTCACAAAGATTTGTTCCTGGTTTACCATTGTTGTATATTTTGGACATTTTGATCTTCCAGCGGTCGTCGCTTGAAACATAGGCATGTTCTCCGTGGAAGTGTTTGGGGTCAAACCCACCAAACACTATCTGGCCACCGTTAGGATCTTCGCCCTTCCCATCTCCCTTGTACGACCTCAGCCAAAACGAGAAAATGGGTTTAGTTATCAATTTTTGTTTCACCATGTTTTCCAAAATCGTGACAGATCCTGGCGCAAATGAAGATTTGATGCCCAACACAAGTACACCATCAAATTTAACACGTTTTAATAAAGCGTCTGTTACGTGCTAAAAGAAAATCCTGACTATTTATTATTATGCCGCCAACGTTAACCTTGTCTTGTGCACGGATACCGTCGACGTTTCCGGTCACATATCCAAGTTTTACTTCGCTCCCTAGAAAAGTAGAAATTAGTTTGCTCCAAGTGCTTTATAGATCTCACAGACAGCTGTCTAAACAGTATGAAACAAAACAAAAAAAAACTACTAACAAATTACGATACAAATTAATTAAACAATATATATATATATATATATACTCACTAAAACTTAAGTAATTCTCTTACCTCCAGTCCATAAATGTCAGTCGTTCGGGAGTCAACGATTGCTTTGCATTGTGGATCACAAAGGTTGGTTCCTTGTTTACCAATTACCAATGTTAATTTCGGACACTTGGATAGAGGCATATTATTCTTCTGTTATATCGTCGTCATAGTATGTATTTCAATTACTAGATGTTATACAATCTTTTGTTAAGGGCGGAACTATGTTTAAGGTAGGGGGGTCACATGACTCCAATAAAAAAAATGAGCTAATTTGTTTATTGTTTTTTACATTTTTCTATATAATCATGGGTGAGTTAAATTTCTATGCCCAGACGAAACGAAAATTAAGTGGATATGCTTGATTATTAGATATTTAACCCTCTCTCTTCCCTTGCAACATTTAAGACGCAAACACCCCTACAAAACAAAGATAACGTTAACCGAGTAGTATAGGTACAGCAGCATTAAATGCTAAACGATATCTTCGAAGATATTTTTCCGCCGGCATTAGAAAAATAAAGATACAGAAATAATTACACCAGATATGTTATTCACTTGTAAGTCAACGTCCGCTCAGCACATATCCATGGGTTAATAACAATGTTACTCCGATAATACGTTATATGCTAACTATCATCATGCATGTTTTTACCTAAGACTTTTCAACCATTCATCAAACTCCCATCCAAGTTTTGCTGACGATATTGTCCCGATAAGACGTTATTTGGTAACTATCATCATGCATGGGATATTCAGCTGTAAGACAACGTTTGCTCAGCACAGATCCATGTTTTGATAACGATGTTACTCCGATAATATGTTATTTGCTAAATGTCATCATGCATGTGTTTACCAAAAGACTTTTCAACCATTCATCAAACCCTCAACCTATTTTGCTAACGATATTACCTGGATAAGACGATATCTGCTAACTATTATCATGTATCAGTTATTCAGCTGTAACTCAACGTTTGTTCGCCACACAGGGCTATTTTTCGCTAACGATGTGACTCCGATAATACGTTAGCTGCTAACTATCATCATGTATGTTTTCAACACTTCATCAAACCGCAATCCATGTTTTGCTAACGATATTACCCCGAGAAGACGTTATCTTCTAACTATCATCATGCTTGTTTTACTAAATACATTTCAACCATTCGTAAAACTCCCATTGCTGATTCGCTAACGATATTATCTCGACAAGACGTTATCTGCTAACTATAATTATGCATGTGTTATTCAACTGTAAGTCAACGTTTGCTCACCAGAATTCACTGTTATGTTAACCGTGTTACCACGATAATACGTTAACTGCTAACTATAATCATGCATGATTTGACCTAAAACTTTTCAACCATTCATCAAACCTTCATCCCTGTTTTTATAACAATAGTATCCCGATAATACGTTATATGATATATAACTACGATAATGTTTTCACCTCTAAAGTTGAAAATAATCAGCAAACACCAAACAACAAGTTTCGATTGATAACATTGTTAGTCGATAATACGACTACCTGCTAACTAAAATAAGCCAAATATTAAATAATCATCAAACACCAAACGAAATTTGTAAATAATCATCAAACACCGAACAACAAGTTTTGATTGGTAACATTGTTAGTCGATAATACGACTAGCTGCTAACTAAAATAAGGCAGATATTAACTTAAAGCAACTTTTAAAAACATTCATACAAACAACATTCACGTTTTGCTAACAGTAGTACCCCAATAAGACGTTAGTGGCTAACTATGACCATGTTATTACCTCAAAAATTATAACTATTCATCAACCCAAGACAACAATGTCTCTATGTATTGATAACAATGTTAGGCGATAATTTGGCTATCTCCTAACTATAATCAGATCCTCATATTGAGATCTGAAACAATCCTTTTCTTCAACATCGTAATAACCATGTCCACGGTTACATCTTCTTCAAGCCCAAACAACTTTCTTCTTCTTCTTCTTCTTCTTCTTCTTCTTCTTCATACTTGGATACTTCCCACAAGGTAAGCCAGTGACAATCTTGAACTCTCTTAAAGAAAAACGAATAGGAGAACCCGTGAATAACACCTAAACACCTAAACGCAATCAACCGGGGAGGAAGCAGAATCGGAGGCATCGGTTCTGGAAAAAAATGGATAAAGTCTAGTTAGACAACGAAAAACATGTCGTTGAAAGCAAAATCAAACATAAAAAATCGATTTTAATTACTAGAAAAAAACGAGAAGAACAAAACCCAGATCTGAGATATAAACCCTTGCTCGAAAAACAGAACCAGAGAAAAAGAATGCGAGAGGACAGTTTTGGGGAGTTGTTTCCTTTTTCTTTCAGCCTCAAAACGCCGTCTCTCCTCCTCATATAGGATGAGGAAAAACACGACTGTTCGGTAACTGGGCAAGAAAAAAATTTAAAAAAAAAATTAAATAAACAAAACTCCCCAAAACAATATCTCGCAAAATCTTCTCCTACCGTCTGCAATGATACAACCCTATACTATATATGCGACTCCCTTGATGCTATAGGGGTACATGCGTAAAAAAAATGAACAGAAGCAAGGGAACAATGCAAAATGAAGGGAGTGAATTATCTATTCGTCTATGCATATCCATTGATATTTTCCTATAATCATCTACTTTTACACCCAACTAATTTTTTGACCTCACAAACAAGAACTTCAAGCAAATGAAACTCATCTATTATCAATATTTATTTTTAGTTTTTACTATTATTCTCTTGTGTTGAGCTATAACCTATATTTATGTTTTCTTTCGAATTTTCAAGTTTTGGTGGCACTTTCATTAATTTATTTTTGTTCTTATAAATCTACTTTCAACAGTTTTTAAATTATTTTTACTAACATATCTAAAAAATTGAAATCTACAATTTTTATACTAATTATATATCTATTGGGAAAGTGAAGATTTTGGAAGAATTATATTTAGAAGATAATATTAAAAACAAAAACAAAACAAAAGCAAAACATAAGCAAAACCATAGCAAAACATAGTAATATGTTTTTTCAAAAATGTAATAATAATTAGTTTAGAGATTATAATTTTTAAAACATATAAATAATTTATTATTAAATGTATATATGCCCAACTTAAGTATACCGTCATATTTAACATGTTTGAAAAAATTATCTTGGTTACTCGCTAGAATGATATCCTGACTCTTGATTATAATTCCCCCAACATTGACATAGTCTTGGGCATGGAGACCTTCGGCTTTACCAGACTTGTATTCCATTTCTACCTTTTCTACTCCTTAAGAATGAGAGAAATGTTTATGGAATGTATAAAAATATTGGAAGAGTTAAAAAAACTCGAAAAGAATTGTCAAAGAATAGAAATTGTAGCCGCCGAAAAGAATATGAGTATATCTCTTATTATTACTACTCCACCTGCTCTGTAATTTCTTCACCCTCCAAGAAAAGCATTGTCTGTAAAAATCACAAACATAAATTTTTTTTTAAAAAAAATCCAATTTACTTTCCGAAACTAAAAAGTCATAGAAATAGATAGAATACTGGTACATAAGACGAGCAAGACTAAAAAAAGAGAAGATCGGTCCATAAAATGTGTTAGATATAAAAAAAACCTTTGAACAAAAGGGACAAACTTCACTTCGCTCCATCCATTCATAGATGCATGCAAGATGAAATATATGTCCACATTGCAAAACTATCTTCGGGTTTTCATCAATATACTCTGTCTCCAATCCAAATAGGAATTGAATTATTAACATACATAATCTTAATCAATCAAAAGTTTTTCAATCTCATTTCAAAGTTTTTATATAATTCTTTGGTTTACCATAGAAACATGTCGGACAAACGTCTTCTTCGTTGGCAACAGAGTAAATTTCCTCTCTTTCTAAGCTTGGAAATAGTTGCTCGAGCTGGATCAAAAATGTAAGTTAGCTCTTGTTCTTGGTAGAAAAAAAAAGGAGAAATTAGGGTTTATAATGCGGAAGATACCTTGGGGGATAAGTTATTCGTTATTGGGTTAGTGAAGGTTCTGATTCTTGCAACGTTTAGAGATTCATCATTGTTCTCCGGAATTTGAAAACAACAAAGTAGAATACCCATTGATCTGAATTAATAAATCAACGTAAACTTATTAAATGGATATTAACAATGATAAAACACAAGATTTGAGCTCATCAATTAAGACGGGACATGGAAGAAATCAGAGAAACATAAGAACATTGATTTTAATGTTAAACTGTTCTCATACCTTGGACTTGGATCAATCTGTTGAAATCCAGAGAAAGAGAAAGAGAAGAAGAAGGACAAAAGAATCAATTAAGCATGAGAAAAAGCAACAAACTTTAGTTTTAAGGAAGATTTATTTAAAGCTTTGGTCCGTAATCGGAGCTAAGTAGGATTCTTTGGAGAGCAACACAAGGAAACGTGGAGATTTTGTGGGGATATTTTATGACTTGGCATACCAAAAGAGCTTAGACCATGTACACCGGTGATCTTTTCTCAGTATCATTGGCCCAAAAACAATTTTTTAATAGATAAAACCACATAATTGGGTCTGATCCGTATCAGTGGACTGATATTTATGAGACTCAGTATCAGATGATGTGGCAGAAGGCTATTCGACCGTGAATGTATTTTTGGTGAAAACAGAGAAAAAAAAATGTCTTCGTCGGCTCTCTCATTCCTTGTTGTCTCTTCTACTTTCTCCAGCTTTACCTAAAACGATCCCGTCCTCCTCCCTCCAACCCGACGGAGTTACCGAGAACGTCGTCACGGACTAATCTCTTCTCTCGTGGAAACTCGATCGGACGAGTTCGAGTCTCCTCTCGAGCTGTTCCTCTGGCGAAACCTTCCGATTCGCCTTATTACATTGGGTTGGAGAGAGTCAAGACGGATCCGTACGATCGGATTAAGAACACGGACGGGATTATTCAGCTTGGATTAGCTGAGAGTACAGTGAGTTTTGAAAGTTTACGATGATTTCTTCTCTCTTTGTGATTGTTGCGATGAGGTTTAATCTGATTTTCATTGGGGATTGGTTTTTGTAGCTGTGCTTTGACTTGCTACAGAGATGGATGTCTGAGAATTTGATGGAGTCGATGATGCAATCTGATGATGGTAAATTCGATATTAGTAGTATCGCAATGTATAAACCTATTGAAGGATTACTGGAACTCAGAGGTGTAGATAACAATCACTCGTTATTCTTCAATTTCTTGAACATGAAAAGCTTTTTGCAATTATTAGTTAAAAATTGACTGCAAAATTGTTTTAGAATTTGTTTGATTGATATCTGTTCTTGTATATATTTGTTGTAACAACACTGTAACACTGATGATGGCAAATTTCTTATTAGGGTTCTTTAATTTTAGGGCAATTAGAGTCTCTGTTTTTGTTGACAGATTCACCTAGAATCTCTTATATGCATGGATCTTCCACTAAGCTTGTCTCTTGTCTTGTACCTTGTTTCTTGTGTATACAAGTTGTTACAATCGAATTATCATTCTGTTTCCTTATATATGTTTATATGTATCTCCAGATAATCGCTCTTAGAAGAGCAAAGAGGAGGAACATGGAACTTTTGGTTTTGGCATGTGGTGGAGAAGCTGTGAACTCTGTTGATGACTTGACCCCTGATTCTCTTTGTTGGGCTGAGATTTTCAGTTCAGAGAAAGCAAAAGACAAGCACCTAAAATGCCATCAAGACCTGAAATCCAGAATTCAGAGAAAGCAAAAGAGGTCCAAGTCAATAACAGCTTGTGTGTGTATGTGTAATGTGTGTAAACTTATCATGTATGCAAATATGAATGTTTAAGAGAAAAATCTTTTTCATGGTTGTACAAAAGAGAGAAACACACAAACGTGTGATCTAAACTTCAAATTGCAACAAAATTGACTGGCATCTTGTAACTTGTTGTTCTGTTTAGAGTTTTTTTTTTTTTTTGCTTATTTGCAAAATCAATTGTTACAAATCAATATTTTCATAGATTGTAATATTATCTTTTGTAATTTTAGGTTTTTATATATTTATTTTCGATTTTGCAAATAATTTTTTTTTTATTAATGATACCGATACCGGTCTCACCACTGGAAACAGATTTATTACCAGTATCATAAACAATCTCAAACAATAAACAAACATTATAAATAATACTAAAAAATTGTTAATGATACTTTATGAGTATCACCTATGTGCATGCTCTTAGGAAGTTTCATGTTTTTGGAATGTTGACTTGTTTTTTCAATTACCGGTTTACAAATTCGACTACCGTCGTTTATTGTATATCGTTTTATTCCTTAATCCTAGTGCAACTGTGCAAGAAAAGTTATATAAAAAAACTTCACTAATTCAAGAAATTTTTTTAGGGAATGAAAGATAAAAAAAGTGATCAAGGAGCTGGATTTTTTAATTTTTTTAATTTTAAAAATATTTAATCATAAATGTGTAACCAATGTAAAAAGTATGTGTTTCTTGGCACACGAAAAAGGAAAGGTATTAATTGGTTTAGAAAAAAAGGTAAGATAATTATGTTGGTTACATTTACTTGATATCATGCCAAATCCATTTAATTAAAAACCAAGTTGGAGATTTTGTTTTTTAAAATAACAAACCCACTTTTTTATTGGTTAATTAAATATGAGATCTATATGCAATCAAACCACACACCGAACAAGACATTTCTCTTGATAAACATTACGAACTTTTTTATTGGTTCCGTTAATTAAAGATCAGTTATGACAATTCATGTACTTCAAAAAAATTATAGCTATGTTATGTTATATCACATGGCCCGTAATAATTATCGGTTGGCAGAAATTAGTGTTGGGACCTATGGTATGATGATGAGCATGATGAAGAAAAATGGCCAACACTCGATGTCTAATACTAAAACAAAAGAGTAGAGACATCATTATCCATCATACTCAAAGCAATACAAAAGTATCAATTAATTAAATAGAAAAAATAAAGTTTGGAGACAAAAGTATCAAGTAAATAGACATCTCTATTCACCCACAATGGATTTCGATAATTAGACCGGGGAGAAACATAATACAGTACAAAAGAACTCACGTAAATGATTAATCTACGGACTTAGAATTTGATAAAACATAAAATGAAAGAAAAGGAAAAATATATAGTATTAATTATGCTTTGTTGTACATAATTAGTCATTGCAAAATTCACAACGATTCTATATCCCATTAGATTGTGAATATGGAATGTGGATGTCGGTGCAAAATTCACAACGATTCTATATCCCATTAGATTGTGAATATGGAATGTGGATGTCGGTGCTATACACTACACAAAATGTCTAAGGGGCAACAAAAAGAAGGATAATAACTACTCATTAAATAAAAATGTGGGTACTAAAGTTTGGGGAGAAACTGAGGATTACGTATATAAAAGTGTGGGGAGCTACCAAAAGCGAGATCATAATTACTCATTATTCTATAGCTCTTAATCTCATTTACTTTCTCCACCATCTTATATCATCTTCTTGTCCTTCCATTGGCAAAGAGTCAAAGAGAGAAAGAGAGATAGAGAGAAAGAATGGGAAAGAAAGGAGAAGGGTTCTTTCTGAGCAGAATAAGGGCTAATGTAAGAGTCCAACCACCGACAACTACGAGCCAGCATGGCTGCAGCCACGAGCCACCAACCACCTCCATAGGGATAAAAGGAAGAAGAATAATGGTTGTGGTTGATTCTTGCTCGGAGGCTAAGAACGCTTTGCTTTGGACTCTCTCGCATTGTGCTCAGCCTCAAGATTCCATTCTTCTTCTCCATTTTATTAAAGCTAAAACCTCTCAATCAGGTCAATTCTCTCTTTCTTGGTATAATTTAATCTCCCACAAGAATAAGTATTGTTGCTTTTACATAACATATATATATATATATATATATGCTTTGTTTTCTAGGTGATCTAGCTAACAAAAAAGAAGGAGAAGACGAATCTTGTGACAAACCAACAACGTCAAGAGCTGATAAAAAGGTTTCAGCCTTGAAAACCATGTGTGAACTTAAAAGACCCGAGGTTCATTATATGTCTCTTTACCATACCTTTTTTTTTACCTACGAATAAATCTTGAAACAGTTTTTGTTTTTTAATCTCAATTTATGTATATGCTTAGAAATAGTTCATATGTTTCTGAATAGTAAACATGAAAGAAATTGATGGAATAAGATATAGGTAAATAGATATGACAAACAGACAGAACAATTTTAGACTTTTATTTTAAAGTAGAATTAGCGATATATATATATGTTCATTTCATTTTGTACAACACAGATCATCAGATTTTCGTAAAGTGTTGTATTTCATTTAACGAACCATAGTATATATAACCCTTTAACTAGATATCAATTTTCACCATACATATATATTTAAAACATTTTTTCCTACTCTAATAACTAGAAAGAAATCAATCAATAATTTGTTGGATTAGGTAAAGACAGAAGTGGTGGTTGTAAAAGGTGACGAGAAGGGTCCGACCATAGTGAAAGAGGCAAGAGAACGAGAAGCGTCCTTATTGGTTCTAGGCCAGAAGAAACAACATGCTACATGGCGGCTACTAATGGTATGGGCGTCGCAGTCCCGACCCGCGCCCAAACACGACTTCGTCGAGTATTGCATCAACAACTCTCCTTGCATGGCTATTGCGGTTCGTAAGAGAGGCAAGAAACTTGGTGGATACACTCTTACAACTAAACGTCACAAAGATTTCTGGCTTCTTGCCTGAAATAGTTATCTATTCACATCTAAATTAATATAACCTTTCTAAAAAAATTACTTTATTTCATGGTTGTGGATTTTGTGGGTGCGAGTATTTTACGACTTTTACTTCTTTCAACTTATTTGTTTATGTTTGTATGTAAAAAACTTTAGTTTTAAGTATGGATTTCTTACGGCTATAAAAATGTTTAGGGGTATAAAAACGAGCTAATATGTTCTGTTTGCAGCGGATTAAAATATTATGCGAGTTTTGACGGATTAGTTTGCTCTTATTAATGGTTTCCTACTTATCATGTCTACGGATTGTTTCGTTGTCCGCATAAATGTAGTTATTTTGAATTTGCTTATCCGCAATGAACTAACCCGCAAAACCGATTTTTTTTTATACAGCCAAAATTATAGTTTCGTAATTTGTATGATCAAATCCCGAATCTGCTGTATGATTCCTTTTTCATATCTTATGTACAAAATACTACAGTATGAGATTTCATGACTAAAAGCAATTTCTTTGTGTTTGCCAATTTCTCAGAAGAAAGAAGAAAGGCCCAATTTGGGCCTTAAATTTAAAAAATGGGCTTTTTGGTCGAAACTATATCCGACCCGCCCGCTTCTTCGTCTTCTTGTAGCCTGAGCAATTCGATATAAGGTTAAACAAACAAAACTCTCCCAAAACCTTGTTTCGTTACTGTAATTCGTAAACCCTAGCAACCACCGTCATCGCCGCCGCCGGAGCAAAAATATTATGGGGAAAGATAACAAAACGAAGAAGAAGCCTAACAAAAAAGGCGAAAGAAGAATGGGACCAGATGCAGTCGCCATGAAAGCTAAGACCCAGAAGGTCGATAATCCATTTGAATTAATCCGCTCTCGCCGGAAGTTCGATATCCTCGGAAAGAAGCGTAAAGGTGAAGAACGGTTCGTCAGTGTCTCTCGAACTCGTGCTGTTGATAAGAGGAAGAACACGCTGCAGAAAGAGTATGAGCAAAGCTTAAAAGCTTCGGTTTTTTTGGATAAGCGTATTGGAGAACATGATGATGAGCTTGGTGAATTCGATAAGGGTATAATTCGATCGCAGAGACAGCGTCAGGTTAGTTATTTGATGAGAGGAGAATCATATACTTCACTGAGAAAGAAACTGAATTTGTGTATGTTTTCTTTTATGGTAATGTAGTTGAAACTAGCAAAGAAGAGTATGTATAATTTGTCTGATGGGGAAGAAGATATTTATGAAGATGGTGCTCTTGGTGGTTCTTCTGTAAGGGATGATTTTGATTCTGGACTTTTGTCTGATGAAGATCTTCAAGATGATGATCTAGAAGCTTCTGCATCAAAGAGTATGTTTTTCTTGATATCATTTTAACAGCTTCTTCAACTTTGATTGTGTCTGTTAAACTTTGACATAGCTAATATTGTCTAACCATCACAGGACTGAAGCATCTAAACAGAAACAGACAGGTTGACGCATCTGGAGAGGAAGAGGTAAGAACAGGTCTTGTAGATATTTGTGTGTAATTTACCTTGATGGTTGACATATAAGTTCTTGAAGATATTTTGGATTCTATCTGCAGAGGCATAAGAGCAAGAAGGAAGTCATGGAAGAGATCATCATGAAGAGCAAACTTGGCAGGGTGACTATTCCGCTGTTTTCCTGGTATCTTCTTTTGCATGGCATGTCAGTGTGCAGTTGATAATTCTTTATATTTTTTGGTCTCCAGATGGAGAAAGCTAAGCAAAAGGAGGAAAAGGGAAAGCTAATGGATGAGCTGGATGAAAATTTCAAGTCCTTAGTGAATTCTCAGGCGATGGAGAGTTTAACTAAGCCTTTTGATGTCGAAGAGGTGAACATAGATCACAGTTTGTAGTTGTTTAAATACGGAGCATATGTATCTATATGGGTGTTATCAGGATTTTCTGTTCATAAGTTTTCTTTTTCGTTTAATCCTTTTGTCTGCAGGATACACGCAATCCTTATGTATTAATGCTGAATGATATGGCAATGGATATTCGTGCTCGTCCTTCTGAGAGGACAAAGACACCTGAAGAAATTGCCCAGAAAGAGCGAGAAAAGTTAGAGGCTCTTGAGGTATGTTCTGTCAAAAGCCATTGTAGGTTTACATTGACTGTTACGAAATGTATATGATAAACCACTATAAATAAGGGCTCTTATCTTATTGTGAAGTCAAGGTCTTATGGTTGACATCATTTAATCATTATACAATTTTTCAAAACTCTTAGGAAGAGCGTAAGAAAAGGATGCAGGAAACTGAGGAGTTAAGCGATGGGGATGAGGAAATTGGCGGTGAGGAATCAACAAAGAGGCCAAGGGTCATTTCTGGTGACGATCTTGGTGATTCCTTCTCAGTTGAAGAAGATAAGCTGAAAAGGGGATGGATTGATGATGTTCTTGAAAGAGAGGATGATGTTGATAATTCAGAAAGTGATGAGAATGATAGCTCTTCTGAGGATTCAGAAAGTGAAGAAAAAGAAGATGATGAGTCAGATGGGGGTGATGAGAAGCAGAGAAAACGTCATCATTTAGAAGACTGGGAACAAAGTGATGATGAGCTAGGGGATGAGCTGGAAGATGAGGAGGAGGATGATGATGAAGAAGATGATGAGCCAAGAGTACATAAAAAGTTGAAGAATGACTATGCTGCTCCAAATAAAGGAGAAGGGTTGTCTGGAACAGTGAAACAAAAAACCAATATGAAGAAATTGAGTTCAACGCAGCGTGATATTCCGTTCATGATTGATCCTCCAAAGAATTTCGAGGAATTGCTTGCCCTGGTGGAAGATTGTTCAAATGAAGATGTTATTTTAATTGTCAACCGAATCCGGATAGCACACTCAATTAAAATTAAAGCTGAAAACCGAAAAAAGATGCAGGTAAGATTGAATTTTGCTTCTCAAAGATTTAATTCTGGTTAAGTTCTCAGGCCATTTCATGCCTCACTTGCTTTCTGACTGTTTGTTGTTGTTTGCTACCCAGGTCTTCTATGGTGTTCTCTTGCAGTATTTTGCCGTTCTTACAAGCAAAAAGCCCTTGAACTTTGATTTACTAAATATGCTTGTCAAACCTTTGATTGAGATGAGCATGGAGATCCCCTACTTTGCTGCAATATGTGCTCGCCAGCGGCTTTTGAAGACCCGTGCACAATTTTGCGAGGCTATCAAGAATCCAGGTTTGTGATGCTACCATAACCTTGTGTTTTAGTGTCCATTAAGATACATGCCTCTAGTATCTTTTCACCCTAATCAGTTCAGAAACATTCTTTCAGAGGATGGATGCTGGCCTTCTTTGAAAACATTGTTTCTCTTGCGGCTCTGGTCCATGATTTTTCCATGCTCTGACTTTCGCCATGCTGTGATGACCCCATCAATATTGTTGATGTGTGAATATCTCATGCGCTGTCCCATTTCCTCTGGTCGTGATATTGCCATAGGTTCCTTTTTATGCTCCATTGTTCTTTTGGTAAGGAGAAGTTGATCCCCACCCTTTTTCTTCGCGATTTCCATTTTCATTTTCTCATGCAAACGAAAATGTACTGTAGGTTGCTAAGCAATCTAAAAAGTTCTGTCCTGAAGCCATATTATTTATTCGGACTCTCCTGATGGCTGCTTCAGACAAAAAGTCACCATCATCTGCGGAATCTGAGGTACGTCTTTTAACAAGACCTTGTTTTGTATTGTGCTTATAATTTTAGATTGATAAAAGCCCAATACTGCATCTAAGAAGTAAGAACTGAAGATGCACAGAGCCAACTGTTATTTACCAGGCTGATGAGCTTTTCTGTTTTGTGTTACAGTTTTATCATTTCATGGAATTAAAATCGTTGACTCCATTGTTGTGCATACAAGACAACGTAAAGGAGGTCATGCCTTTGAACTTCCTAAAGATAATGAATGAGCCAGCAGACTCTCCATATTTCAGCTCTGATGATTTCAGGTCTGTTCTCTCTCTTCTGAAATCAATTTTCTTTCTAAGACATCAATAGCCAGCAAAAGTGTGTAATAATACGTTTGGCTTTGGTTCAACAGAGCAAGCATCCTTTCAAGTGTAGTTGATACTCTTGGAGGGTTTGTGGAGACAAACGGAGGATTGAGTTCCTTTCCAGAGATCTTCATGCCCATCTCAACTTTATTGCACCAAATTGGGAACCAAGAAAAGATCCCACAAACTCTCAAGGAGAAATTAGAAGATGTCGCAAAGCTAATCGAAACGAAAACCGACGAGCATCACAAGGAACGCAAACCACTCTCCATGCGTAAGCATAAGCCAGTGGCCATCAGAATGGTCAATCCCAAATTTGAGGAGAAGTAAGTCTCTCCCCTAAATTCATTCTCTCTCACTCAGTCAATAGTCAATACTTACACAGACCACACGAGATAATCTCTATAATGGTGTATATACGTTTGTTGTGCAGCTTTGCTCCAGGCAGGGATTACGATCCAGACAAATACCGTTCTGACCTCAAAAAGTTGAAGAGAAAGCTAAAACAGGAAGCCAAAGGAGCAGTGCGTGAGCTGCGCAAAGACAGCTACTTCATGAGCTCGGTTAAAGCAAAAGAGAAAGCTGCGCATGAGCAAGAGAGAGCAGAGAAACATGGCAAAGCTTGGGCTTTTCTTCAAGAACAAGAACATGCTTTCAAATCTGGACAACTTGGTAAAGGCAAAGGCAAGAAGAGAAGACGTTGATACCATTACCACTGTGTTTGTTCTATTTTTCCCTTCTTTAAAACCTACCAACACAATTTTGTTTTTTGTTGGATAATCAAAAAACTATTTACAGAGAGAATTGTCCCTTCTAAGAAATTCAAAAAAAGATTATCATAAAACGTCTTTGGTCAATGTTAGTGAGCAATAAGCTTAAATTTGTCCTTCATGCGAGCAATAAGCTTGAATTTTTCTTCTGCTTCAACTTGCTGTTTGATGTCACCTCTTGATGCTCTATCAGGATGAAATTTCAGTACGGCTCGTTTGTATGCTGCGTGTACCTAATTTTACAATTGTTTCGATCATGATACGTGAATACAAAAGATGTTAACAAATATAACTAACTGTAAAAGATAGATGATGGGCTAACCTCATGTGGCAGAGGATATATTCCACCACCAACTTGAATCCCTAAGCCTCGAAGCAACGATGCCATGTTAAAGCTCTTGAGTTCCAGCAGTTTAAGCGATTTGGTTATTTCTGCACGGACTTTCTCCTTCATGTTCATGCTTTCTTCATCCTGTGATATAGAGATGGAAAAGCAAAGGAATTAGCAGCGAATCAACACGTTATTCAGAGAAATCACTGAGGAAAAGTAGAAAACCTTCTTCTGTGTCTCTCTCACTTCCTCCACCCTCTCTTTTTGCCTTCTTTCCATCTCCAACTGTCGCGTGTTCTCTAACTTTCTTCTCTTTCGTTGCTTCTGAGCTTCGTCTGCCTGTAATAGGCACAATATAATTCAGCAGACATAAACTAAGTTGAATAGGTTCTTTGAAGGTGAAAGAAACACTTAAAGTCAATATAATTCACCGGTGGCCACACTTAAAGTTTTCAATATTTAACGGGAACTTTCAAAAATTTGAGCAGAGTATGGTCAAACCTGGATCTGTAACTGTCGTTGCCTGGACTCCCATTCTTCTTCTTGGGCTTTCTTGTATTCATCAGTCTCCTTCAACATCTCTCTGTTAAGCATGACATCGATTGCAGGAGCTGTACCATTACTACCTTGCATTTGTCCACTTGTAGATGGAATCGGATCAATGATCGGTTCTCTTGATTCATCTAAACTCGAGATCCCGTGCTCACACCTGGCTCCATTACTTTGGGTGCCAAGCACATGCGTTGTATCTCCACCCCCATCAGAAGTCTCTGGCGGAGAAAATTTTGAGGCGTCTTCTTCATTTTCAACTTCCTTGGTATAAGACTGATACGCAGCATTTTTCGTTTGGTTCTCTTCGGGTGACTGTGAAGTTTCACATTGAACTTGCACTTTGTTTGGCTGTTCTACAACTTTTTTGAAACTAGTTTGATGTATCGGTTCTTTTGGCGAAGTAAAATGAGATGATGGTGTATCAAACCTTTCATGTTCAGCTCGTATTTCGGGTGACAGTGGAGAAGGCCCCCGAAAATCCTCTTTATTGAAAAAACTAGATTTAGCACAGTGTTTAGCTCGGCTGTCTTCCTCCATTACCGAGCCAAAGTAAGTCGCCATATCAGGAATTCTACCATCGGTTCCAAAGAAAGTAGAAGAGGTTTCTTTTTCACCATCTGGATTACTTGCAGCAAAGAAGAAAGATGTTTGATCATGTTGTTCAGTTCTACTTTCAAAACCAGATCTGAAATTGTTGTCACAGTGGAGATTTGAAGGACCAGCTTCTTCACTCAGACCAGCTTTTCCACCATCTGGAGTTCTTGCGGCAAAGAAGAAAGATGTTTGATCATTTTGTTCAGTTCTTCCAAAACCAGGCCTGAAACTAGTGTCACTGTGGAGATTTGAAGGACCAGCCTCCTCACTAAGACCAGCTTTACCTGCTTTCTTCATTTTTCTCAAGAGAGCTGCTTGTTCCCACTGCTCGCGGACCTCTCTATGAGACCCTTCTAAAATCTCACAATCAGAACAGTCGCTCTCGGAAAAGTCACTGTCAGTATCAGAGCCTAAACCAAATCGAATTCCAGAAGAGGGCATTGTAGAGAAAGTCTGTTTGCATTTCGAAAATCTAAAAGTAGCACACTTTTCTTGAATGAATTGGCAATCGTCATTATCCACTTCTGCAGATGTTTGCAAGTTAGCAGCAGGAGGATTACTGCTTGAACTACTCCCAGCTTTCTGAACATTTTCCGTCTCATCCTCATCATCATCATCATCATCATCGTCAATGCTAATCACTCTCGGCAAAATAGACTCCTTCCTGGTTCTGGATGTACCCGGAGCTTTACATTTTGATGACTCAGGAAAATCAAGAATGATAACCTCATCATCATCTACCAAAATAAACTCTTCCATTATGCCATTTGCACTGCATCTTTTGGTTGGCATTCTATTCCAAGAACGTGATCTAATCTGACGATTCTCTCCCATTACTTCCTTACGATGCACATACATAGAACGCATGAACTCGCATCAAGGGTTCAAAGCAAAGCATCCGTTTTGGAGTTGAAGATATCCATATAGCTAAAACCACCTATAAGCAGAGGAAACGCAAATTGGATATCATTACAACTATAACCAGATTCTTATTCCCACAAAGCACTCTCTTCACATATTCATCAAAATCAGCTAAAACTAAATTAGGTAACAACTCAAAACAAAAGTGAATTTGATAAACTATTCACTACACGCTACGAAACTAGAAACGATCATAGACATGAACTAAGTTTCTAGAATCTACCAAACGAAACCTAATCGTCGTAATTGAAAACCTAATCGTCGTAATTGCTAGGTTTTATGGTCTATCAACGAAAATCGAATCAAATCAAAATTTTGAAAACGACCCACTAATTTAAGGATCCAAGTGAGCAAAGATTTGAAGAAAATCAAACTAACCTCTCTCGACAACGACGACGGAAGACGAAGACGGAGGCTTAAAAACTGAAGCCTAATTTTTGGGTTTGAGGGGAAAAAAGGAACACAAAATCACATAAAAACGAAGTTTGGGAGAAAAGAAGAAGATGATTGAGAGATTGAGCGACTCGTGCCCTGCACCTCAGGAAACGTCGTGGCCTAATCGATCAGAGAAAATGGGTTTTGTTCGTTGATTGGTCGGTCTTTGGATTAAGAGTGAAACTCTTGTCACCGTAAACATATCTCTCTCACTTTTTTTTAATTTTCTTTGTGACTTTAGAACAAGTTTTTTTGTTTTTGTTTTTTATTTTTTCTGGAATAATGTAGGGTTTTTAGACGTTTAAATTAGAAGTTTTGTAAGTTTTTTTAAGAAAAGGGAATTATGTAAATCGATGAGAATTTTAATTTAATTGAGTACTTGATTTTGTTATTTTTCCTTTATTGTAGTCATCAAATCGCAATTTCATATTCATCATATTTAATCCTTGTTCTTGAATTCCTTTTCTTCTTCGTAATTAATCAAGTGGGCGCAAAACGTGTTTTAAGTAGATTTTTGATTTGGACTTTAAAGGACACATGTGTAAATGAGAATTCAATTTTGGTAACCCACATTTATATATTATAATCCAAAATTAAGTCTAATAATGCAATAAGTAACTCCTTAATATATGGTATGTAAAGATAATACAGAAATGTAAAAGACTAAAAGTAGTGAGGTAGATTAAGTCAAGAAATAATCTGACGGCTCCAATATTCTTATGATCTTTATCCAAATGACAATGAATTTGGTCCTACATTATCTAACTTTCTAATAATTTCAAACAAATATGTAAAACCTTTTTCATTTTTCTAGAAATTTTACCAAAATTCTCACCAAAAAAAAAAAGAAATTTTACCAAAAAACTTAAGATTTTTCATCAGTTTCTACTCTCAATTAAATTTTTGTTTTATGGGAAAAAAGGTTCCCACGTCAACGCACCATTAACAATGTGATGAAGAAAAATTAACAAGGTTAGTGTTTAAACTCACAAAGTTCTCTTTTCTTCATCAAAATAAAAAAACTCACCAAAAAAAGATCAGAATTAAGAACATAAGGGCAATTCTCATTAATACCACTAAAATGAGTTTATTTTCCAAAACAACCATTATTAGTTTTATTATCAAAAAATGCCACTAAAATAAAAAAAATTCCTAAAAATACCACAAAACTAAGCTAAAATTTCAACCTTCAAAACTAAACCCTAATTTTTAAAGAGTAAACCCTACCCCCTAAAAACTATACCCTAAATCTAAAATAGTTAACCAAGGCCCAAAATTTTAATTTCTACACTCTTGAAAATTAATTTTCGTGTTTATGGTAATTTTTGGAAAAAAAAAACTTTTAGTGGTATTTTTGGAAAATTAAACTAAAAGTGGTATTTTTGAAAAAAAAACTTGAAAGTATGGTACTTTGAGGAATTTCTCAAACAATAATTTGTTGGTAGATTTTGTGAAAGACTAAGAAGTCAAGGTTTATCTATTGTGATTGAAAGAAACTTGTACATTGAATAAGAAGAAAAAATTCCATTAGGTTTGTTGGTAGCTGTGGAAGCATGTAAAAAGGTTTTGTCTTCTCTAATTTTTGGACCAATTCCAGTTATGTTACACCAAATTCAATAGGTATTAATTGGTGTGAGTGGCGTGAGGTGCACACACTCCTTGAATAATTTCTTGTAGGGACAATAAATCAGAAACAAAAGTTGGTGGAATATAGTGGCATTAATTGGACAAGATTTATGATGCACAATAAGCTAAGATTTTGTACAAAATATAAATGATGTGTTAACAAAATAAAATCTTCAGTCTAATATTGAGAGAAGACGATCTTTGTGAAATTTGTATAGAGACAATAACAGATTTGAATCTACGTTAATATGTTGAAAATTTCAATTAAAAAAAGTTCCAAAATAGTCATTACAGAAGAAAGAAGAAGGAACCTAAAAAATGGAAAGAGAAAAAAGAATTAGTGAGAGGTGGTGGTTGGATTAGGTTGAAGCATTGAAGGAAGAACGAGAGGAGACAAGAGAGGGATCGGATCTGTGCCGTTTTGACAAAACGTAGACGCAGAAACGTTGGTCGTAGTAGAAGGAGCCTCCGCAGAAGGAGGAGGTCTTGGTGGTAAGAGAAGAGGACAAGGAGCTCTTCTCTGAAGCCGGCAGCTAAGAGATCGCCGGAAAACGCAATCGTCGTTGTGAACTCTCATCTCAAAACCTGGAAATGGATCTCCTTTACGCCCTGAATCCTCCATTCTTGGTTCTTGATTCTTGTTTCTTGATTCTTGGTTCTTAATTCTTGGTTCTTGATCTTGATTCTTGATCTTGATTCTTGATACAAACTGATAATGTATCAAGTCTTGTTTTGTGTGTGGATTGATGTTTGGGTTTGTTGATGTTTTAAATGTTGAATGTTTTTTTCTTTTTCTTTTAAAGGGTTTTAAGCTGATTTGTAAAGAGGGAGATGATGAGAACGAAATTAGGGGTTGCTTAGCGTGAGGATTTTAATAGAGTAATTAATAGTATGGATAATAACAAAGAAGAAAATCCATTTTTAAAAACGTAAAAAATTAGAAATTGGGTGAAAGTGTGGTTGTTGTTGTGGTGCCTGTATTGACTCAATATGGCAAAAAAAAAAAACAAACAAAAAAAAACCTGGTCAATGGTCAATAGATTGGATAGATATGAGATCTATTATAATGTTATGCTTAGTGTGTTTTTTTGCTTTTCTTAATAAAATGTTTATTGTTGTGAATTGTGTCTTTCATTAATAGTATAATGGATATATATACAAGGATAATAGCAGGATACAGAGAATAAGGTAAAACCCTAATGGGCCATGGGCCGGTTATGGAGTCCATCCATATGGTTTATAACACTCCCCCTTGGAAGACATAACCGTGCCCGATACTAAACCGGGATCTCTATAATGCGCTGAGGAATGTTGCCTCATTAAAACCTTACCAGGAAAACCCAGTGGGACAAAACCATGGTGAAGGAAAAAGAGTACAACACGCATTACTCCCCCTGATTTGAGCATCACTTAGATCCTTAAGTCCGCACATTTCGATCTGATGAATGAGCTTCCGGAACGTTGAAGTCGGCAATGATTTGGTGAATAGGTCGGCTGAATTCTCACTTGACCGGATCTGTTGAACTTTGACCTGACCGTCCTTCTGTAATTCATGAGTGAATAAGAGCTTTGGCAAAATGTGCTTCGTCCGGTCTCTCTTAGTGTAGCCGTCCTTGAGTTGAGCAATACAGTCTGCGTTGTCTTCAAATATGATGGTCTTTGATGTAGTAGTAGATGCGCCTTAAGGAAGGCTGCCTACGTACCCTTGGAAGGGATCAAGCCACACATAGTTCCTATTCATTGACCATACCATAATCTGATCTTATGAATATCCTGCATTAGTAAATCAAACTAAACCAAAGCAAACTAGACTTTCTTTGGTTAGATCAGTATAGAATAAAACCCAAGTAAACAACGCAGGAAGAATGAACTTTAAATTTTAACCAAACCTTCCTTTAAACCTTTCCAGTGCCTTTGGGTTGATCATGAACTAAATTTAGACAGGAGACTCACGGCAAAACAAATGTTTGGTCTAGTGTGTCTAGCCAAATTCATTAGAACTCATATGGCACTGAGGTATGGCATTTCCAGACTGAATGGATCACTATCCAATCTGAGGCTTCTCACCACCATTGGGCCTGGTCAATGGGCGGGCCTGGTCCTTATTAAATCTCCTTGAGTACTCTTTCAGTGTATGCCATTTGATGCACAATGATTCCATTATTCACGTACTCAGGTTGTAATCCCAAACAGAACTTAATTATTGCCTAGGTCTTTCATTTCAGATTCTTTCTTTAGATATACTCAACTGTTTGGTCGATTACCCAGAGGTTTAAATCATTCATATACACTGCTATGATTACAAATCCTTTGTTTGCAAACCTCTTGATAAAAATACATGGACTGATCGGATCGTTTTTATAGCCTTCTCTGATGAGATATTCACTTAACCGGTTATACCACATATGTCCGCTTTGTTTCAGTCCATATAAGGATTTGTCCAGCCTTATGCAGTGATGTTCTCGAGAATCTTTCTTATCTTTGAGCTCAATACCCTCTGGTAATCTCATATATTATCCAGTGGACTTATATAAATATGCAGGCATTACATCCATTAGCCGCAAATCTTTCTCTTTTATATAGCCAGACTTAGCAAAAATTTAAATGTCTTAGCATCCACCACAGGGGAGTATATCTCATCTATTTCTGGTCTTTGTGTGAATCCTTGTGCGACAAGCCGTGTCTGATATATCACGCTTTCACTATGTTTATTTCACACTATCACAAAGACTCATTTGTCCCACTGGCTTTACATTGAATGGTGTCCTTTGTATTGGACCAAACACATTCTTCTTCTTAATGATTCTTAGCTCCACGTTTTATGGTCTTGTACCATTTTAATCAATCAGGTCTTTGAGTGCACTCTAGTATAGACGTGAGCTCCTGATCCTCATTCATTTCAGTTGCTACCTTGTGCGCAAATATATTATCATTGATGTCGACATCTTTTTGGTTCCATTATATTCTAGACATGATATAGTTTATAGAGATCTCTTTACACCTTCAGGACCTTGAGGTTTGGCGTCCCAAACCTCATTAATTGGTACCTTAGGGTTATGTCTATTAGCCGGCCATGTCTATAGTTTCTTGAACCTTCACGGTTTTCCTTGCACCTTTCTTTGATTTCCGAGGGTTCTTGTCTTTGGAACCTTTTGGGTCTACCACGTTTCTTACGTGTTGTAGCCTCTGTAGCAACTTGATTGTGTTCCTTGTGAACATCAATACGTACTGGTGCATTACAAGCTGGTATGTACGATTTTGTTACTCTCTTTGGGTCATTATAGGAATCTTGGCAACTGTTTTAGCTAGCTTTTGCAGATATATAGTCTTTTGGATCTCTGATGGAGTCCGAGGATCTTGCCATGTGAAGGATGTTTGATTCCATGTAAGTTCTTTGACCAGCTTGTTAGTCTCTCCACCCAGTGTTGGGAAAACGGATTCATTGAGATGACAATCCTTGAATCTGGCCTTTGGCTCGAGATACTTAATGATGGTGGGAGAATCATTGTTAACGTATATTCCCATCCCCTTTTGAGGTCCCATCATTTGCTCTCTGTGGTGGTGCAATGGGTACATAGACTGAACACCCAAATGTCTTAAGATGGGAAACGTCTGGCTCATGACCCGTTAGTAATTGGGATGGGGAATATCTATGCTCACTAGAATGGCCTGATGCGTATAAGCTCTTGTTGCATGTAATATTGTGTGTCCCCAAGCAGCTACTGTCAGTTCAAGTATGGACATGTGCCACGGGGTATACTACTCTCCCCCTCATGGACATACTGTAGCCATAAAACGCTTGAGACATAATTTACCAGCATTATCTAGACATATAGTCTTAAGTATGTGGGCTCACAGACTTATGGTCTGGGCCAGCAATCTAGCAAACACCATGTTTCTAGTTGCTTTGACTGGTGATGACCTTAGTATGGGTTTCCCTTGTGTACATGCTGCACACGTGAGGTCCTTAAGGAGTGTGCCCTTTTGATTTTAATATCAGCTTTACGCATCATGTTAGAACCAGGCTGGCCAAGCCGGTCATGCCATTAGTGAATTTCTCAGTAAACCCTTTTGTTTACTGTATTAGCCTCTATCATATTGACCTTAGCATAGTAAAGGTCTATGGCGCGGGTATAGTCTCTAAGACCTTCTCATGGTCTTGGGTGCTCTTAGTAATATATGGGAATCTTCTGTTCCCTTCACCCTTAGTTTCAATGTGGAAACCATTCAAACACATTTCTTTGAAACTCAACAAGCCCCTTTGAGCTAGGTGAATATGAAGCATCTGAGGATGCGTGCCCTTGGGAATATGGGCCTGCCATGGGCCTACCCTTAGCCTTCACTAAATTTAGCTATACCCGCAATTTGGCTAATGAACCATGTCTTTAGATATTTCGTTTATTGAATTCTCATAATCATCTATCTCATGGTCGAAATCTTCTTCACCATCGTGATGAACTAAATGAGCTTCTTGATTCTTTTCAAACTCTCTTGATAGAGATCAACGAGATGCTTAGGTGTCATGCACGTCTTAGTCCAATGGTTTCCCCATTCCTCATCAGTGGCAAACAAGTTTATTTGAGTGTTGTGGTTTGGGTATACCGTGGCCTACCTCGATTACGACCAAAGTCGGGTCGGTGGCCTTAACCATATGAATGGTTTCCTTGATCATATAAATTATAATTTCCACTTCTACCACGTCCATTCCATTTACCATGACTGTGTCCATGATACTTATCTCTTTGGACGTGGTTAGACTCTTTAGTCTCTTTAGGCTCTTTAGGCTCTTTAGGCTCTTCAGCCCAACGGGCTTCTGATAATGGGGTAGGACCAGGAGGTCTCATTTCACTATTTATAACTCATTGTTTTGCTCAACAAGTATCATATCAGAATCAATGTTCTCATCAAGGTTTCTCCAAAGCCTCACTCCTTAGCACTCTCTACAGAGGAGTCCTCCCCAAAAACAAGAGTTTAGACTTGCATATGTGGTAAAAACCTTTTTCACGATATTGTTGCTGAGGCAATATATTGTTTGTGTGAAAGGTCGAGAATGCTTTCTCTAGCAAGTCATTCTCAGTAACTTCCTCACCACAGAATCTCAGTATTGACACTATTATAAATAGTGCTGAGTTATACTCATTCATGGATTTGAATTCCTGGAATCTGAGATTCTCCCGATCGAATCGGGCTTTTGGGTAATAGCACCGTTCTTTGGTGGTTATATTGATTTCTTTTTTTTTTTTTTTTTTTTTTTTTTTTTCAACTCTGTCCTGAGGTCCAGATGATTCTTAATAGTGAGGTACTGATTTTGAGACTCTCATTGAGGTGATGGCGTATGTCAGTAATCGCCTTATATCTTTCTCTTCTGGTGACATTGTTTCCTTCCATAATAGATTCACCAAACCCTTTTTCCTTTAGGACAATCTCAGTGTCCAAAGCCTATTTTAAATAATTGTCACCAGAGGCATTGAGTGCCGTGTATTCATAATAGTTGATTTCTGATATCTATAATATATAGAGTTAAATGAGAACTCATGTAATTGGTTATACCAAGTCATGCGGTATTTGAGACCGAGCCATGCTTGTCTTCAGCAAGTGTTTTCTAAACAATCATGTTATATATATATATGGATGAAATCAACCCTAGAAGATTGATCTAGTATGCAACAACCAAACAATCGGATCATACTAGATTAGGATATTAGGATTTCGCGATTAAGTTTTAGGGTTTTAGCATCCGCGATTTATAGTACTAGGGTTTTTGCTAGGATTTCGGTTTTATGTATGGAAC